TGGAAGGCCTTTATCAAGTCAATTAACAAGCGAACATGTGAGTCAACTGTGAAAAAACCATATAGAAAAACCGGGGCTGTGTGATTGGTCTTTGGGTAAGGAAAGCACTGTGTGTGTGTGTGATTAGGAATGTAACAAGAGGTCAGAAATAAGAACAAGTGCCTATATGAATTCTGTCTCTCTTCTATTTGACTATACCTTCAACATTTCAATCTTCCTTGTACTCTTTTTTCCAAGTGGGTAACCTAAAGATAGCCAACAAAACCGCCTCACAAAGGTACATGATTAATGGTTGCAGAAACTGAAACATGCTGTTTTCGTTCATAGCTCTGGCTCTGCGTTACGGTCAACGGTCGTCGGTTGATAAATTTCCGAGAGACAGTCTCGGAAGTTAGCCGTTTGAGCACCGTGAATTCCTCAGATGTATGAAGGTAGTTTTCTTAATTCACCGACTGAGATCTCCTTGTGAGATTAGGCATGTGCCGTTTTCGCATACTGTTTTTATTGAAGGTGTTGGTGTGTGAACGTTTCTTGTGTATTATCCATGGGAATCCAAATATCTGAGACCCGTATGGTGTGCGTATCAATCTTCAAGCTCAGTGTATGCATTTCCTTTACTTTGAGGAGCATTTGTCACGTAGAGATGCGATTGGTGATATTCTCGTTCTAAATGCCATCGATGTTGTTCACCGAGCTGAAGATCAAATATTTTAGATAGTAACAGGTGATCCTCTAAATCCTGGCATTGCATACCTATATAAGACCAGTTTCCATTAGACCAGAATCTGATCGGCTCGAATATTCATAATACGAAATACGTTGTAAAGACCGGAGTTGTCGATCGATCTAGTGCAAGACATCCAATAGTTATCATTAGCTTGTAGTTACTTGAACCTTCTAGCACCCGAGTTAGACAGGTTATATCTGTTCTCTATTCATGCAAGCAGTGCACGGTGACGCACCGACTACCGGTATTAAATATTGTCCTGACATTGAAGATGGTCGTTTGTGTAGTACCTCATGTTGGAGCTGTATACGCTTTTCTTCCCGTAAAAAGTGCAAAGTGAATGAGAGCATGTTTCTCGTGCGGTATTTGGCCTTTGTGTAAGAGTGCAATTCCTACCCTTTCACAATAAAAAGTGCAAGAAGTTTCAACACTGGTACAGGTCAAACATTGTCGGAATGAGTTTCACTAATCACAGATGTCAAAATTTTCCCAGTGGTGTGACGTGGTAACTTCGAGAACATCATAGTTCTGTAGACAGGAAGACGGTCTGTGGCTTTTTCAGCTTCATTTTTCGAAAATCAGATTAAAAGAACGTACCCTCCATCTTCTATGCCCGTTTAGGGAGACCAGCTCATCCGTTCACGGTTAACTACCTGAAAAGATCTTCCGTCTATGCACAACTTGGTGCCGCGCAGTGTAGAATTCAGCTATGCTCTCCATAGTTATTTCTAGACACTCCGAGCGAATGGTGACAAGAATGATAAGTGAGAGAGGCTATTTCTATGTCCTGACGGAGGACCGGCTGTCTGCATCATTCTGACTCGAAAATTGTGCTGTTCAAGGCAGGTGTCTTGAAAACTGCATTCATCGTCTAATTTTGCTCCAATACACAAGCACTTCGCCTAAATCGAAGATTCTGATCGGTGCTAGTGTAAGCTGATTGGCACAATGGTACCACACCTTTGCAACGACTCTGGATGGGTCAGTTGAAATGCACTGCTGATGCGCTCTAATCAAAACAAAACTCCAGCCCAATGCTTCGTGAGTGTGTGGTTTGATTGATAATCCGAGGATCGTTCGTGAAGAATGCTCCAAATAATGATCAGTTATTATCCGCAACATACATTTAACCCTACTAGTCGCTAACAAATTTAAGTTCAGTGTGTCTTTATATTTTTCAGGTGAGATCCCGTGAGAGACAACCGGGTCACATCTGGCATCGATTAGTGTGGATCTGAATAGGCAGAATTCTTGCACAGATGCAAGTCAGGGGTAGCCAGTACACCATGATTAATCTGTGCCCGACTCCGAGGAGAGTGAAGAGAAACATTGTGGTGTGATTTTGCAATAATTTGGAACATGGGCATCTTCTACAAGCATGTTTTAATCTTAAGAGAGTTACATTGAGGCAACACTTTCGTCCGTCTTGTCAGTAGGGGGTTGTGACGACGC